TAAGGTTGGAAAGGAATCTAATGCATATGTATATGGAAAATGGTGCATTGGCCAGGTCGGTCAGTATGGGAACTTAGAGTGCAAATGTCTTGGACAACGGAACCGCTCAGATCTCGCATAGTACACGAAATCTAGTGGTCTCACTCAAATATAAGGTAGGAAATATATTAATCGAGTGAGCATAAGGGTTTGAAAGGTAACTAACGCACATGTGTAGAGAAAATGGTGCATCGGCCAGTCTGGCAGGCATTTCGCACTTATAGTGCAAGTGGGGCAAGGAGAACGGAAACGCTCGTTTCTCAAAAATTAGAGGGAATCTAGCGGTCTCACTCGATCAGAAGGTGGGAAATATATAAATCTAGTGAGCTAATAAGGTTCGAAAGGAATCTAATGCATATGTATATGGAAAATGGTGCATTGGCCAGGTCGGTCAGTATGGGAATTTAGAGTGCAAATGCCTGGGAGAACGGAACCGCTTAGATCTCGCATAGTACACGGAATCTAGTGGTTTCACTCAAATATACGGTGGGAAATACATTAATCAAGTGAACGTAAGGGTTTGAAAGGTAACTAACGCACATGTGTAGAGAAAATGGTGCATCGGCCAGTCTGGCCGGCATTTCGCACTTATAGTGCAAGTGGGGCCAGGGAGAACGGAAACGCTCGTTTCTCAAAAAGTATAGGGAATCTAGTGGTCTCACTTGATCAGAAGGTGGGAAATATATAAATCTAGTGAGCTAATAAGGTTTGAAAGGAATCTAATGCATATGTATATGGAAAATGGTGCATTGGCCAGGTCGGTCAGTATGGGAACTTAGAGTGCAAATGCCTGGGAGAATGGAACCGCTTAGATCTCGCATAGTACAAAGAATCTGGTGATCTCACTCAAATATAAGGTAAGAAATATATTAATCGAGTGAACGTAAGGGTTTGAAAGGTAACTAACGCACATGTGTAGAGAAAATGGTGCATCGGCCAGTCTGGCCGGCATTTCGCACTTATAGTGCAAAAGGGGCCACGGAGAACGGAAACGCTCGTTTCTCAAAACGTATAGGGAATCTAGCGGTCTCACTCGATCAAAAGGTGGGAAATATATAAATCTAGTGAGCTAATAAGGTTCGAAAGGAATGTAATGCATATGTATATGAAAAATGGTGCATTGGCCAGGTCGGTCAGTATGGGAACTTAGAGTGCAAATGCCTGGGAGAACGGAACCGCTCAGATCTCACATAGTACACAGAATCTAGTGGTCTCACTCAGATATAAGGTAGGAAATATATTAATCGAGTGAACGTAACGGTTTGAAAGGTAACTAACGCACATGTGTAGAGAAAATGGTGCATCGGCCAGTCTGGCCGGCATTTCGCACTTATAGTGCAAGTGGGGCCAGGGAGAACAGAAACGCTCGTTTCTCAAAAAGTAGAGGGAATCTAGCGGTCTCACTCGATCAGAAGGTGGGAAATATATAAATCTAGTGAGCTAATAAGGTTTGAAAGGAATCTAATGCATATGTATATGGAAAATGGTGCATTGGCCAGGTCGGTCAGTATGGGAACTTAGAGTGCAAATGCCTGGGAGAACGGAACCGCTTAGATCTCGCATAGTACACGGAATCTAGTGGTCTCACTCAAATATAAGGTGGGAAATATATTAATCGAGTGAACGTAAGGGTTTGAAAGGTAACTAACGCACATGTGTAGAGAAAATGGTGCATTGGCCAGTCTGGCCGGAATTTCGCACTTATAGTGCAAGTGGGGCCAGGGAGAACGGGAACGCTCGTTTCTAAAAAAGTATAGGGAATCTAGCGGTCTCACTCGATCAGAAGGTGGGAAATATATAAATCTAGTGAGCTAATAAAGTTTGAAAGGAATCTAATGCATATGTATATGGAAAATGGTGCATTGGCCAGGTCGGTCAGTATGGGAACTTAGAGTGCAAATGCCTGGGAGAACGGAACCGCTCAGATCTCGCATAGTACACGGAATCTAGTGGTCTCACTCAAATATAAGGTAGGAAATATATTAATCGAGTGACGTAAGGGTTTGAAAGGTAACTAACGCACATGTGTAGAGAAAATGGTGCATCGGCCAGTCTGGCCGGCATTTCGCACTTCTAGTGCAAGTGGGGCCAGGGAGAACGGAAACGCTCGTTTCTCAAAAAGTATAGGGAATCTAGCGGTCTCACTCGATCAGAAGGTGGGAATATATAGAAATCTAGTGAGCTAATTGTCAGAACATTATAGCTTATATATTTGTGTATGCTATAGTGGGGTATCCCATAGGGGGTACAACCCGATCAGGATTTCCTATATGTACTCACTTCATTCATCGTACATTCATTCTCGTTCTAGTTTCTTTCACATGGTTTCAAAGCGGTTACGCTCTCGGCCTGTGGGTACTATGGCTTCCGCTGCTACATGCTCTGTAGCACGCCCCGTGGCGTGCGACGCATTTTCAATCTCGGCGTAGGCGCGCGGCGATTTGTTTTTTGGTGCGCGCCTCGGGGCGCGCGGCCTCTTTCTTTTCTGGCGCGCCGCTCGTCCCGGCCCCCTAGCCGCCCGCGCGCCGCTCGTCCCGACCCCTAACCGTACGTGCGCCGCCTGTCCCGGCCCTTAGACGCCAGCGCGCCGCCCGTCCCGGCCCTTAGCCGCCCGTCCTGGCCCTTAGACGCCCGCGTGCCGCCCGTCCTGGCCCCTAGCCGCCCGCGCGCCGCCCGTCCTGGCCCCTAGCCGCCCGCGCGCCGCCCGTCCCGGCCCTTAGCCGCCCGCGCGCGGTCGGACCGCGCGCCGGTGCTCCAGCCCGTCGAGGCCCGTGAGCCGCCCGTCCCGGCCCCGCGCCGTCGTCCTGGCCCCCACTCCGCCCGTGCGCCGCCCGTCCCGGCCCCACGCCGCCTGTGCGCCGCCCGTTCTGGCAGCGCGCCGCCGTCCCGGCCCCACGCCGCACGTGCACCGCCCGTCCCGGCCCCGCGCCGTCGTCCCGGCCCCCACTCCGCTCGTGCGCTGCCCGTCCCGGCCCCACGTCGCCCGTTCCGGCACCGCGCCGCCGTCCCGGCCCCACGCCGCCCGTGCACCGCCCGTCCCGGCCCCGCGCAGCTGCCCCGGCCCGTCGCCTGCTGCATTGCCGAGCCGCCCCCCCCACCAAGCCGCCGAGCAGCCCAGCAGCCGAGCCGTAGCCGAGCCGCTGAGCAGCCCAGTTGCTGAGCCGTAGAGCAGCCAAGCCGCCTGAGCCGCCCGAGCCGCCCGAGCCGCCCGAGCCGCCCGAGCCGCCCGAGCCACCCGAGCCGCCGAGCCGCTGAGCCGCCCGAGTCGCCCGAGCAGCCGAGCCGCCTGGGTCGCCCGAGCCGCCGAGTCGCAGTTGCTGCAGTGCCGCCGTGCCGCCGAGTCGCCGAGTCACCGAGTCGTCGAGCCTGCTCTTCCCACCACTGGTGAGCCCCTGCCTTACTAGCGCGCTGCCTGCAACTTGCTTGGCTGCCTTCCTTACTGCTGCTACTCCTGCTCCTGCTTCTACTGGCGGCGGCCAGATGCAGCTCCAGCGACGCCCACGCGCGTCTCTCACGCCCCAGCAGCTTCGTGAGTGGTACGCTCAGAGTAGAGGGTCTCTCAGTTCTGTTCGCTGCTCTTACGTGATTCGCACTGGTGCTCGGACTGGTCAGCCTTGTGGGACGCCTAGTCATACACCGTCCCGCTGCTTCGCCCGTCTGAACGACGCCTGGCGTACCTAGTTTGGCGACGAGGCTAAGCTCCCCGACTGGGTGGAGTTGCTTAGGCAGAGGGTAGATATATTTGCTCTTGACTATGATGCTATTCTCACTGCCATGTATGCATTGCCTACTAGTGCTGACCGTGCCGGTCACCTGTGCGTACCGCCTGACTCGGGTATAGAGCCTGCTGCTCTAGCTGCTGGTGCGGCTGCTGCTCTGGGTGCTAGTGTGTCTCCTGCTCCAGGTACAGGTGCGGCTGCTGCTCTAGGTGCTAGTGAGTCTGCTTCCTCAGGTGCGGGTGAGTCTGCTCTTGTCAAACATTATATATGTTGTGTTAGTTTAGGCTACAGTGGGTTAGCCTATAGGGGGTACACAATTCTAGGGTTAGGTTTTGACCTATTTGTACCCAACTGCCATTCTAGTCAATCATTCCTGTTTCATACTTCTGAGATGGTTTCAGAGCAGGTCCTTCGCTAGGACCGAATTTTTTAAGGGCCCACCACTACCTGTCTCACTACCTGCGCCTAGGGCGCCTCGTTCTTACGGCCCCTTGAGGCCCTCGCGCTAGCCTCTTAAGGCCCCTCACGGCCGCATCGCCCCTTAGCGACCTCTTCGGCCCCGCGCTTACATCCCTAGAGGCCCCGTCGGCCCCACGCTAGCCTCTTACGGCCCCCCTTTCAGGCCCCGCGTTAGCCCCTTAAGGCCCCGCGCGGCCCCGCGCTAGCCTCTCACAGCCCCTTAGGCCCCGCGCTAGCCCCTTCGGGCCCCCGTCGGCCCCGCGCTAGCCTCTAACGGCCCCCGAACGGCCCCACGCTAGCCCCGAATGGCCCCGTGCGGCCCCCGCGCTAGCCCCGAACGGCCCTGTGCGGCCCCGCGCTAGCCCCGAACGGCCCCTTCAGGCCCCGCGCTAGCCCCTTAAGGCCCCCCGTCGGCCTCGCGCTAGCCTCTCACGGCCCCCGAACGGCCCCGCGCTAGCCCCAAGCAGGCCCCGTGCGGCCCCGCGCTAGCCTCTAACGGCCCCGCTCAGGCCCCGCGCTAGCCCCTTAAGGCCCCCCGTCGGCCCCGCGCTAGCCTCTCACAGCGCGACCCGGGTGAACCGCACGACCCGAGCCGAGCCGCGCGACCCGAACCGAGCCGCGCCGCCCTCACCGAGCCGCGCCGCCCTACCCAGCCGAGCCGCGCCATCCAGCCGAGCCGCGACCCGAGCTGCACCGAGCCGCACCGCCCTGCCCTATCTGGTTCGTCCTACCTACTTCTGCTACTGCTACTACTACTGCTACTGCTGCTAGTCTACTGTTCCTATGGCTAGCCCACAGGTTCTTGTGTTCAATGCTGAGGGCCGCCCTGTGAAGTCTGACACCTGGCTCGATGACCTGCACCTCTACCTACAGCTCACAGCCAAGGATGACATCTCACTGTACGATCACGCCCTAGGCAATGTCACTGCCCCTGCTGCTACTGCTGGCAGCACTGCTCGCTCACAGTGGCAGACTCGTGATGCCCACGCTCGCTTCGCCATTCGCAACTCCCTGCCAATAGACGAACGCGAGCACTTTGGCCAGCACAAGACTGCACAGGCACTGTAACAGCTGTCGTTGCTCGTTACTCCTCACCTGCCTCTGCCGCACTAGGCCGTCTCTCCCTCCCCTACCTGTTTCCCGACCTGTCCTCCTTTCACACAGTCGCTGACCTCATCACGCACCTCCGCACTAGTGAGGCCCGCTTCCGTGCCGCCATGCCTGCTGAGTTCCTTACCACGCACCCCCCTCCACTCTGGCTCACTCTCTACCACCTAGTCACCCGCCTCCCTGACACTCTGTGTGCTGTCAGGGGCCACTTCCTAGCTCGTTGCCCCACTGAGCTCACCATTGCCCTCCTCGAGAAGGAGCTCCTTGCAGCTGAGACTAGCATAGTCGCTGTAGGTGCCTCTCGTGGTGACCCCCCGTACCCCGTTCTTTGAGGGGTGTTCTCCTTCCCCCCCTTCTTCCCTGTGTTGCCTCTGCTGCTGCTGTCGACCTTCTCGGTGCTGAGAAGGTCGGCGCTGCGTCCGCCTCGAGCGGGCGCCACAGCGGCAAGGGCAAGGGGGGCAAGGGTGGTAGCGGTGACGGCGGGGGAGGCGGTGGTGGGGGCGGTGGAGGCAGTGGGGGTGGTGGCTCGGTTGGAGGGGCGAGTGGTAGCGGTGGGGGTGGTGGCGGCGGCGGCGGGGGAGGTGGCAGGAGTGGAGGCGGCGGTTGGGGTGGCCGTGGACGAGGCGGTGGCAGGGGTTGGGGTGGTCGAGGAGGTGGCAGCGGTGGTGGTGGCCGTGGAAGCACTGGCGGTGGCCAGGGCTAGCAGCACACTCCCTCGCCCCAGGAGGTCCGTGAGTGGTACTCTCAGCACGGGGGTGGGGGTGGTCTTAGCTGCACGTACGTCATTCGCACTGGTGACCGCACTGGTCAGCAGTGTGGACGACCGCACGCCACACAGCGCTGCTTTTCTTGTCTCGACAACGCTTGGCGTGTTCAGTTCCCTCAGGCCAGTGAGCTGCCCCGCTGGTTTGATCTCCTGAAGAAGGGGATTGATATCTATGCTCTAGACTTTGATGCTATTCTATCTGCCATGTATGTGATGTCTACTAGTGGAGAGGGTGCCGAGTACTTGTGTGTGCCGCCCGACCCGGGCATTAGGGCCAGTGCGTCTGCAGCTCCAGGTACTCGCGTGTCGGCTACCCCAGGTGCTGGTGAGGCTGCTGCTCTAGGTGCTCGTGTGTCTCCCCCCCTTGGTACTGTGTCGACTGCCGCACTACACACCTTCACACTGGACTCAGGTGCTTCTCGCTGCTTCTTTCGTGACCGCACTGCCCTTGAGCCGCTTGCTCGGCCAGTTGCAGTCGCGCTTGCTGACCCCTCTGGGGTCCGGTCATTGCGACCTCTTCCACTGTCCTTCCCTGCCCTGCGGTCCCGTCGGGCACACTGTCAGGTCTCCACCTCCCCTCGTTCTCTACGAACTTGGTGGCAGGATGTGCTCTCCAGGACGGGGGTGTTCACCAGTTCACCCCTGCCTACGAGCGCGTGACCCACTGCACGTGTGCTCGTACGGGCCGTCACTTGGCTACCTTCACTCGGCAGCCGGGGCCGGACCTGTACACACTGACTACTGCCTCCCCTCAGTTCGCTGCGTCTGCGTCTGCGTTTGCGTCCGCGTCAGGTCAACTGTCTGCCCCCTGCTCGTGTCGCTCTCTAGCGCACGACACTGTCCTCTGGCACCACCGACTTGGCCACCCGTCTGTGCAGCGCCTTCGTGCCATGCACTCCCGGTACCTTGTCTCTGGTCTTCCCAGGGTCCTCCCTCCCCTCCCACCCTTGCCTGCTCCTCCCTGCCTTCCCTGTGTCGAGGGGCGGCAGCGCGCCGCTCCTCACTCCTCCTCGTTTCCCCCGACGACTGCTCCTTTGCAGACGCTCCACATGGACGTGTGGGCCCAGCCCGCGTCCGTGGTCAGGGTCAGGAGAGGTACTTCCTGATAGTTGGTGACGACTACTCACGCTACACCACGGTCTTCCCCTTGCGCACCAAGGGTGAGGTCCCTGATGTCTTGATTCCTTGGATCCGCAGAGCCCGTCTCCAGCTCAGCGAGCGTTTTCCGCTCGGACTTTCCTGTCCTGCGCTTGCACTCTGACAGAGGAGGTGAGTTTCTCCTCCGACCTCTTGGCAGCCTTCTGTGCTGAGCACGGCATTGAGCAGTCGTTCACGCTTCCGGCCTCTCCACAGCAGAATGGGGTTGCGGAGCGCCGCATTGGCCTGGTCATGGAGGTCGCCCGTACCTCCTTGATCCATGCGGCTGCCCCCCACTTTCTGTGGCCGTTTGCGGTCCGGTACGCTGCGCACCAGCTCAACCTCTGGCCCTGTGTCTCCTTGCCGGAAACCTCGCCCACGCTGCTGTGGACGGGGGAGGTTGGCGATGCGTCGCGTTTCCGGGTCTGTGGGTCTCGAGCTTTTGTCCGCGATACGTCTGCGGACAAGCTCTCCTTCCGTGCTGTTCCCTGCGTCTTCCTCGGCTTTGTCCCGGACGCGTCCGGTTGGCAGTTTTACCACGCCACCCTCGCGCCGAGTCTTGCCCTCCCAGGACGTCACTTTTGACGAGTCCGTCCCCTACTACCGCCTTTTCCCCTACCGCACTGCCCCGCTTCCCCCCCTGCCTCTCTTCCTTGCGCCAAGTGCTGCTGTTGCAGACCCCCTCCCCCCCTCAGGGTGCCGCTCCCTCAGGTGTGTCTCAGGTAGACCCGGTTGAGCCTGTTGAGGTAGCTGTCGACTCTCGTCCTGCTAGGGTGGCTGAGCCTGGGGGTGCTGAGCCTAGGGGTGCTGGGCCTGGGGGTGCTGAGCCTGGGGGTGCTGAGCCTGGGGGTGCTGAGCCTGGGGGTGCTGAGCCGGGGGTGCTGAGCCTGGGGGTGCTGGGCCTGGGGGTGTGGAGCCTGGGGGTGCTGAGCCTGGGGGTGTGGAGCCTGGGGGTGTGGAGTCTAGGGGTGTGGAGCCTCGTGGTGCTGAGCCGTAGAGTCCGGAGTCTGGGGGTTCTGGGTCTGGAGGTACTGGCCCTGTGAGTCCTACTCCTGGAGGAGCCCTCTCCTCGGAGCAGCTGCGTACATGGTACTTAGAGTACTGCAGCCTCCGGAGAGGTTCCACTCGTGCAGGACGTACTGCTGGGACTGGTACTAGTGCTTCTTCTCCAGTTAGGGAGCTCCCCTCCCGCGACCGGATCTGTGAGTGGTACGAGCGACGCTGCACGCTTCGGAGTGGCGTACCTCGTGTTGCGGACCCCACTTGCGCTGGACCTGCCACTGGTGCTGCAGACCCGGGCGTTGGAGGTGCTGTTGGTACTGAGGACCCAGGCGTTGGAGCTGCCGCTGGTACTGCAGACCCGGACGTTGGAGCTGCTGTTGGTACTGAGGACCCGGGTGTTGGAGCTGTTGCTTGTGCTGAGGACCCGGGCGTTGGAGCTGCTGCTGGTGCTGCAGACCCGGGCGTTGGAGCTACTGCTGGTGCTGACAGCCTGGGCGTTGGAGCTGCTGCTGGTGCTGCAGACCCGGGCGTTGGAGCTACTGCTGGTGCTGACAGCCTGGGCGTTGGAGCTGCTGCTGGTGCTACAGACCCGGGCGTTGGAGGTGCTGCTGGTGCTGACAGCCCGGCCGTAGGAGCTGCCGCTGGTGCTGAGGACCCGGGTAGTGGAGCCGCCGCTGCTGCTGCGGACCCTGGGGCGAGTGTTCCTTCTGACTCTAGTGTCGGTGCTCGGTCCCGACCGTACTTCGTTCCGCTCCTGCAGCAGGTTCTTGGTCAGCTCCCTCCTCCTTGTCCTCCTCTCTCCTTAGCGTGTCCTCCGTCTGTCCAGCTGCAGTCGCAGCTACCGTCTGCCTCCTCTCTCCCTGGTCCTGCTCCTTACACTGGTCCGACTGGAGGTCTTATTGAGGGTCGTGAGCCTGAGTCTCGCCCTGCGTCACCTGTCCGCACTGCTCTCTCTAGCAGTCGTGTCCAGCGTCAGAGTCTTCCTGTTGTCCCCGGGCACTCACCGGATGGCACTTCGTCCGTCCACTGCTCCACAGCGTGTCCCACTGCCGTCTCCTCCTACTTCTTCTCTTCTTGCTCTTGCTGACCCTGAGTCAGACTCTCTTCGTACTGCCAGTCCTACTGTCACGCGTCTCCTGGCTACTGTTGTCACTGACCCTTCCTTTGAGACTGCTGCTGCGTCCGCCTTAGTTGCTGAGCTTGTCGACTTTGCTGCTCGCTGTCGTCTTGACTACGCTTCTAGCCTAGTTGCAGAGTCTGAGTCTCGCTGTCCTCCGTCCGTGCGGGGGTGAGTGTGCTCTTGGCACTGACGTCCTTGAGGACAGGCAGGAGGAGTTTGAGTGCTTTGCTGCCGCTTTGCCCCATCTCGTGTCCATGCTTGTTGCCCCTGAGGGAGACCCGGATGCACCAGACATCCCGACCCCACGCTCTTACGCAGAGGCGATGGCCGGTCCCTACTCCTCTCAGTGGCAGTCAGCCATAGACACAGAGATGGCTTCCTGGAAATCCACTGGCACCTACGTCGACGAGGTTCCCCCACCTGGGGCGAACATCGTCAGTGGCATGTGGATTTTCAGGGTGAAGCGGCCGCCGGGCTCTCCGCCTGTCTTCAAGGCGCGTTACGTTGCACGAGGCTTCAGTCAGCGAGAGGGAGTTGACTTCTTCCAGACCTTCTCCCCCGACCCGGAAGATGACCACTCTTCAGGTTCTGCTGCACGTCGCCGCTCAGCGTGACTACGAGCTCCACTCGCTTGACTTCAACACAGCTTTCCTGCATGGCAGCCTGCACGAGGATATCTGGCTGCGCCGTCCACCTGGCTTCACTGGGTCGTTCCCTCCTGGTACCCAGTGGAGCCTCCGATGGCCAGTCTACGGTCTCTGCCAGGCGCCTCGTGAGTGGCACGTACACAGTGAGGACTACGCTCGCGGCTCTTAGGTTCGCGCCTTCTACTGCTGACCCGTCGCTGTTTCTACGCACCGACACCTCACTGCCGCCGTTCCTACGTCCTTGTGTACGCCGACGACTTGGTCTTTGCTACTGCTGACCACTGTGGCACTCGCCCACCGTGAAGTCGGAGCTGCAGAAGAGACACACGTGCACAGACCTGGGTGAACTGACAAGCTATCTTGGCTTGCGGATCACCCGGGACAGAGCACGCCGCACCATCACCTTAACTCAGTCACACATGGTGCAGCAGGTCCCTTCAGCGCTTGCGCTTCAGGTACTCCTCGCCTCAGCCCACTCCTCTGCCTACGGGTCACTCGCTCTCAGCTCTGCGTTCGGATGAGTCCGTAGAGCCGAGTGGCCCGTATCCAGAGCTTGTGGGTTGCCTCATGTACCTGATGACCTGCACTCGACCAGACCTTGCATACCCTCTCAGCATTCTTGCACGCTATGTCGCTCCCAGCCGTCACCGGAAGGAGCACATGGATGCAAGCTAAGAGGGTGTTGCGCTACTTGTGCAGTACGTCGGGCATGGGGCTAGTGCTTGGAGGGGCGAGTCCCAGTTGTTCTCACTGGGCACTCAGACGCTTCTTGGGCACACGACCAGGCTACTCAGCGGGTCGTCTCAGGGTTACTCCTTCAGTCTTGGCTCTGGTTCTGTTTTCTTGGCGTTCTACTCGCTCTTCTTCTGTTCTCAGCTCCAGTTGTGAGGCTGAGATCTACCCAGAGCCATGGCGGCCCAGGAGCTACGCTGGCTCACCTACTTGCTGACCGACCTTGGAGAGCAGCCTCGTTCTCCTCCAGTGCTGTACGTCGACAATAAGGCAGCCATTGCCTTGTGTCAGGAGCACAGACTGGAGCACAGAATGAAGCACATTGCTTTGCGTTAACTTCCTTGCTCGAGAGCTGCAGCAGCGTGGTCAGCTTTGCCTGCGTTACGTGGCCTCTGAGGCCAACACTGCTGATGTGTTCACCAAGGCGCTTCAGCCTTGTGACCATCAGCGCTTTTGCAGCTCTTCTAGGCCTTGTGCCTACTGGACCTCACTTGCTTACTTCTTGAGACTGTTTGTACTGTGATCTCTATATATATACCTGCATGTTTTCTCTTGTTAGGTGCTGATCATTGTACCTTTTGCTCTATTATATATCTGCATGTGAACTGGTCTTGTGACCACTTGCTGGTGCTCGGAATTTGTGTGGTATCCTTGAGATCCACCCTGAGCTTGTTTTGCCTTGCTTTGCCTTGACTGGTCTTGTGACCCCTATTTCTCCCCCACTTTGCCTATGGGGGTGTGTCAAACATTATATATGTTGTGTTAGTTTAGGCTACAGTGGGTTAGCCTATAGGGGGTACACAATTCTAGGGTTAGGTTTTGACCTATTTGTACCCAACTGCCATTCTAGTCAATCATTCCTGTTTCATACTTCTGAGAGCTCTCTCAGGTACCTGCGTCGTCTCCGGCCTCTCACACCTTCACCCTTGACTCGGGGGCTTCCCGCTCCTTGTTTCGATACCGCTACCACACTCACGCCGCTTGGTCCGCCAGTTTGCAGTCTCTCTAGCAGACCCCTCTAGGGGCCCTGTCCTTGCTCACTTCTCCACTGTCCTCCCGTGTCCGGCGGCCCCCTCTGGCACCCTGTCTGGTCTTTACCTCCCCTCGTTCTCTACGAACTTAGTGAGTGGTGCTGACCTGCAGGATGCGGGGGTTCACCAGTTCACTCCTGCAAGTCAGCGGGTGACCCACTGCACAGAACGCTCGGACAGGCCGACACCTGGCCATGTATACTCG